GGCTATTTGGGACCCAAGAGAAGTGGCCATTATGCATTGCCCAGGCCACCAAAAGGAAACTGATCTAGTTTCAAAAGGAAACCCATTAACAGATCGGGCTGCAAAACAAGTAGCACAGGAAATGGCACAGGAACTAGTTGCACTCCCAGCTCCAGTCCTACCAGAAAAACCAGTTTACTCAGAAGAAGACTTAAAATATCTACAAGGATGGGAGAAGCTAGAATATGAAGGGAACTGGGCTAGGATTAGGACAGGAAAATTAGTCCTTCCCCAAAGACTAGGGAGGAAGCTAGTGAACCAGTTACATCAGAGCACACATTTAGGGTCACGCAAACTCAAGGAACTTGTGGGAGGGCAATTTCAGGTTTCTAAGCTAGGACGTATGGCTTGGGATGTGGTGACAGATGTGCTCAGTGCCAAGCGGTAAATGAAGGAGGGACCAGGATGGGAAGAGGAAGGAGAGAGAGAGGCAAGGAACCAGGGATCTACTGGGAGGTGGATTTTATGGAGATGAAAAGAAAGTATGGGCATAAGTATATGCTCGTCTTTGTGGACACCTTTTCAGGCTGGGTAGAAGCATTCCCCACCAAGCATGAAACAGCAGGGGTGGTGGCTAAACGGTTACTAGAAGAAATAGTTCCTAGATTCAGGTTGCCTCTCGTGATCAGGTTGGGCTCTGCATTTGTGAGTTCAATCTCACAAGCAGTCTCCAAGGCTGTGGGCACGAATTGGCAACTACACTGTGCCTATGGGCCCCAGGGTTCCAGACAAGTAGAAAGAACGGACTGAACTCTCAAGGAGACCTTATCAAAATTAATTCTGGAGACTGGCGGTGGAGGGGTGGATCTCCTTCCCTTTGCTCTTCTCAGGGTACAGTGTACACTCTACTTGAGCAAAATTACCCCTTTTGAGATGTTTAGGAGACACCCCCCCGCCCCCCTGCCCACGACTACAGGAAGTTGCCTTAGCAGAAATGACTGATCAGTCTGTACTCCAGTCACTACAGGCACTACAAACTGTCTTAAAGAAAATCCACGCAGGTGTCTGAGCCACATCCCTGCCAGCCTGGTGACTTGGTCTGGATACATGGCCATCAGGTGGGGAATTTGGAACCTCGCTGGAAGGGACCATTTATTGTCATCCTGACCACCCCCATGGCAGTGAAGGTAGAAGGCACCAGAAACTGAATCCACGCCTGCCACATCAAGCAGGCTGAGGAAGAGGATGCCTCTCAGAGATGGAAGCCACTGCCAATGGACCCCACCAATCAGGGACTGAAGCTAAGACTCAAAAAACCATGACTTTGTTGTTACTCTTACTGTTTCTTTTATTGTTGACTAATGGTAACAAGAACTTCTGAGTCACCTTATATGACAGAGAAGTACCTGTGGGAGATTAGACAAGCAGAATTGGGAGAGGTAGGATAAGTAGTGCAAAGTGGTGAATGGCTGACTCACCAAACCATACAGTTTAATGTAACTTTGTGCCAATTGGTACCCATTAGCCCTTGTTTAGATGCCCTACAGTTCTACATGTGCCTGAACACCGCACCTCCCCAGTGCAGTGGGAGAGGGCTCGGGGGCCCACCAGAGTATTATTGTGCTGAGAAGGGATGTGAAACAATTGTGCCTGGATGGGGAAAAGACAAGGATCCCTATATAAAGGTTGGGCACGTTAGAACTGGAGGATGCCAGCCATGGATTGACTGGACCAAGTTAGCATATAACCCGTGTACCAGGAACTTTATAAAGGTGGTAGACCCCAAAGACGCCGATGGGATTATGGCAGATCTTGGAATCTTAGGTATTCACTATCGAGAGAATTAAAGTTCAAGAACCAAACTGGCCTATAGAGCCAAACCCATCTCTGAATCCCCCTGAACCATCAAAAACAAGGCCCGCCCACCACAACCGCCCTTACCTTGACAGTCTTAAGGAACAAAAACAATGGTGACAGCGTTAGTGCTGCCAAGGTTTTACCCCTGTTGGTAGATTCAACTTTTTAAATGCTTCGAACCCTAATATCACTCAAGATTGCTGCCTATGCTTAAACCCTAAGCCCCCATACTATACTGGAATAGGAGCCAACCTCGAAATAGGGACCAGAAAAGGACAAATTAAAAATGAGAGTTCTGCAGGGCGCCGGTGGCTCATGCCTGTAATCCTAGCTACTCAGGAGGCTGAGATCTGAGGATCTCGGTTCAAAGCCAGCCAGGGCAGGAAAGTTCGTGAGACTCTTATCTCCACCACCATCCCCCACCCCCTTAGAAAACCGGAAGTGGTGCTGTGGCTCAAGGGGTAGAGCACTCGCCTTGAGCTGAAGAGCACAAGGACAGCGCCCAAGCCCAGAGTTCAAGCCCCACGACCGACCAAAAAAAATAAATAAAAAATGAGAGTTCTTACAACTCATGTGAGTGGGGGAAGGTCCCCAAACTAACTTTGGGAAATACAGAAGGAAAGGAACTTTGTTTGGCAATAGAGATAGGGAAACAAACGTCCCCATATAGAGACCTATGTGAGACCACAATAGTCCCACTGCCTTCACCAATTTCCTTAAGGCTCCTACAGGGACCTGGTTTGCTTGCAGCTCAGGGATTACACCATGTCTTAATCTTGCTCTATTCCAAAACTCCTCCTGGAACGAGCTCTGTATAACTGCCCACATTCTTCCCCAAATAGATTATTATGGGGGACCCACGGGGTTTGAACATCTTACTGCAGGGTTGGGACAGATGAAGCACGCAGTCCCCAACCTAATTCCAGCACTTGTCATGGCGGGGATAGTGGGATCCACAGCAGTGGGAACTGCTGCCTTGGTAAAAGAGAAGGCAGATTTTGAGGCTCTCAGATCCCAAGTGGATGCTGACCTGCGCCATATGCATGAAAATATAGACAGGCTAACTGATTCCCCGAGCTCCCTACCTGAAGCAGTTCTGCAAAACAGAGAGGGGCTTGATCTACTGTTTCTGAAAGAAGGGGAGGACTCTGCGTAGCCCTAGGGGAAAAATGTTGCTTCTGGGTAAATCATGCAGGAGTCATCAAAAACTGTCTGGCAGCTATTAAAAAGAGACTAGACAAGCGTGAGTAGCAATATAAAAGATCCCAAGAGTGGTATGAGAGTTTATTTGACTGGTCCCCATGGATGACCTCCTTGATATCGGCAATTGCAGGACCCCTGATCCTACTGTTATTAATGTTAGTTTGGCCCCTGTTTTGTTAATGCCTTAATGTCATTTATACAGAAGAGAATAGGAGCAGTAAAGATGTTAATCCTACAAGCTCCATGTAGCCCCCTACAACAAGAAGACCTAGCGTTGGTAGAAGAGTCAAGGCATTGACTCATTTTTCCAAAATAAGGGGGGAATGTAGAGACCCCTTTACATCCTCCCTACTCCTACACCCTGAGTTCAAGACCCATGACGGAAAAAAGGAAAATAAAGATATAGATATAGATACAGCAGAGCACCTGTGGCTCACGCCTGTAATCCTAGCTACTCAGGAAGCTGAGATCTGAGCATCGTGGTTCAAAGCCAGCCCGGGCAGGAAAGTTCCTGAGACTTTTATCTCCAATTACCCACCAGAAAACTGGAAGTTCAAGCCCCATTACAACAACAACAAGATATATAGATATACATATATAGCTAGGCAGCTATAGATATCTATGTATATAATGAATTTAACAGTCTTCTAAAGCATTTCCAGCCTTTCAAAAATTATTTTGAACCTTTTAATGTTCATATGTGTACATCTTTGTACCGTGTTTCAAAATATGACACAGTTAAAATTTTGAACATTTAGGCAACCTTTCTGCCCTTCATCTATTCTCATCATCAAACCTCAACTGTGAACAAAAATCCCTTCCGGTGTAATTTCTTCCTAGGAAATGAAAGGGATATTGTACATAAGCTGCATGCATTAAGTTAATATATGCTCACTTTTGTGCAATTTAGCACCAATATACTCTCAAATAGATATGGGTAGCCGGGGGCCGGTGGTTCACGCCTGTAATCCTAGCTACTCAGGAGGCTGAGATCTGAGGATCGCGGTTCAAAGCCAGCCCCAGTAGGAAAGTCCGTGAGACTCTTATCTCCAATAAACCACCAGAAAACTGGAAGTGGTGCTGTGGCTCAAGCGGTGGAGGGCTCGCCTTGAGCTCAAGAGCACAAGGACAGTGCCCAAGCCCAGAGTTCAAGCCCCACGACCGACCCTCCCCAAAAAAGATATGGGTAAGAACTTGAGCTCTTTATTAGTCACTTAGGTTGCAAATGGCTTTCTAGTTTACATGCATACTTTAGGTAATATGTTCCTTAAGGTGGCCTGAATGAGGCTCTGGGAGGTCAATGAGCCTCGGAAGGCCGATGGGGAATTGTCTGGGAGGACCCTCATTGCTCACCTTGACCTCCTGCCGCCCGTCCTCGGGATCGCAGTGGGATCTCACCCCCTCTGTCGCCGGCTTTCTCGGGGCCAGGCTCCTCTTCCTCCCCTCGATGGGGTGTGCCTCCAAACCTTTCCTTCTCTGGCTCCACGAAGCGTCAGGGAGAGAAAGGGAAAGGGCAGGGAGCAGGTTCCTTTCTTCAGGAAGGGCCGACCGCAGGGCTCTGACAGTTGATAGCCTCCCCAAGCCGGTTGTGTACCCCGCAGTGTGTGGAGCTCCGGCAGCTCCCACGAAGCGGGGGCACCCACCATCGCTCTTCCCCGCGGCTGCGGCCCCCGCGACGCCCCACAGCTCCCCCTTCCACAGGCTCCCCACGGACACCATCGCTGGCAAGAGGGAAAGCGACACTGCCGAGCGGCGGCCTCGCCCGACATCACGCTCCCCCGCCGCCGACGCCCCGACAGTGCAGAAGAAAAGCAGCGAGGGAAGGAAGGGGCAGACGAACGCCGCCCCGTCAGCCGCGCCGCTATTTGAGCTGACCGGAAGTGCTCAGGCGACTTCCGGGAGTGCCACGGACGACTTCCGGGCGGGAGCGTCACATCGCCGCCGCCCCTCAGCGCCGCCAGTATTTGAAAGGACCGGAAGTGCCCCCGGAGGAGTCCCGGGAGCTGGATTTAAAAGGAGGCAGCGCGTCAGGGATGGCGACCAAGCGGCTGGCCGGGTACGCTAGCGGGGCTCCTGGCACGGGGAAAGAAAGGGTCGCCCTTGGCCAGGTTCTAAGGTCCGCGGCAGGGATGGGTGAGCAGCCTCAGCTAGTACTTGGTCTCGAGCCCCAGGCCGCCCCTCCACCATGGCTTCTCCCCTGCCTGGCCTCGAACCTGTGTCCACCTATTTTAGGCCTTGGATGTTACAGCGCGCTGTATAGTCTCAGGGCGGTGCACTCGTCCAGCTATTCGAGTCACCTCCTAGTGACCCGTCTCATGCATAATGGACTCTTATCTAGCATATTGCCTTGGGAATGTTTTATCATAGATTACCTTGCAGAGGGTTTTTGAACGTCTCGTTTCTTTACTCAGATTTTTTAAGTGTCCTAGAAGATTAAAAAAAAAAAAGTTTTGTGTTATTCTGGCCTCAGAACTGTTATATACATAGCAAGAACTTGAAAAATGCTAGAAAAATCAACTTTTTAGTGCATCTTTACAGTAGCTCAAGTTCCTTGGGATTGCTGTAAAAAATAAGAAGGGCAGGCAAAATTTGTCTAAGGGTACTTTAAGGATCATGATAGGGAAAATATGTACTAAAATTAAAAAGTGATTGCAATTAGTCCAAGAACCCAGGTCCTTTCCTCCTAATTTTATCCAGTTTTATTTCCCTTGAGTCATAGTATGTTAATGACTAATAGTCTAAGACTATTATTTGGTAACTTATTCATTCAAACAGGAAAGTGAATGAAGTCACTGATTATATTGGATGGTTTTACACTTTTAGGCAGCTTGGATTGATTAGGAGAAAATCAATTGCACCAGCAAATGGGAATCTAGGAAGAAGCAAATCCAGTAAGTAATGTGTACATTGTGTCTTTTCATGTTGTAGCTGTGCACTTTCAACACTGATAAATCATAAGAAACCCTGATCTTTTGCAGAGCAGTTGTATGACTACTTAATTGTCATTGATTTTGAGTCTACATGCTGGAATGATGGGAAGCACCATAATAGCCAGGAAATAAGTAAGTCTGGACTGCCAGTGACAAAAAATTAGCTCTCATATGAATTGTTTATAAGTTTATAGATGTAAATCAGCCAACAGTTTAAGAAAATAAGATGTCTATAAATGTTAGTTTAACATAAAACCTGTCAATTAAAAAAACAAAATCCTGTTATATCTTAATTGTTTTAAGATTTCATGTATATTATCTACATATTTATATATTATATTGTATATATTTATCTTATATATTTTAATAATTTTTGTTATTTATTTACTTATTTATTTTGGTCAGTCCTGAGGCTTGAACTCAGGGCCTGGGCACTGTCCCTGAGCTTCTTTTGCTCAAGGCTAGCACTCTACCACTTGAGCCAAAGTACCACTTCTAGCTTTTTCTGTTTATGTGGTACTGAAGAATTGAACCCAGGGCTTTTTGCATGCTAGGCAAATATTCCACCACTAAGCCATATTCCCAGCATATTATATATATATATTTACATAATACATATTTATATTTTGTTATATATATATAAAACCTTAATTGCATAGAAACAAAAAATCTTCAGAAAAATGGAGTACATTTCAGCATCCATATGCTCTTCATATTTAAGTGTAGAAATATAAATAAATGTACACTTGCTTAAGTATTTTGATATTTTTTTCTTTGGCATGGCTTAATTATAACTTTACCACCTTGCTTGGATCATTCTGTTTTTAAAACAGTTTATAGCAATGGTACTAGGAGAGTAGTACATTTAACTACTAGTATGGTTACAGCATTAATTTGTACATTATATACATATATATTTTTTTAATTCATTACTTTGTGTGCCAGTCCTCAGTCTGGGTGCTGTCCTTGGGCCTTTTTGTTTTTTTACCCAAGGCTAACACTCTACCACTTGAATCACAGCTCTACTTTGAGCTTTTTGCCAGTTAATTGGAGATAAAAGTCTCGTGGACTTACTGTCTAAGCTGGCTTCCAACCCCAATCTTCAGATCTCAGCCTTCTAAGTAGCTAGGAATACAGACAAGAGTCATTGAGACCAAGCTACACATTGCATATTTGTGTTGTTGTTCTTTCATTTAGTTGAATTTCCAGCAGTCTTGCTAAACACATCAACTGGAAGGATTGAATCCGAATTTCATGCTTATGTTCAGCCCCAAGAACATCCAGTTCTTTCTGAATTTTGCATGGAATTGACAGGCATAAAGCAGGTATGCTGCAAGTTTTTAAATTCAGAATTTGGTTTCAAAAAGGAAAAAGAAAGCTATTATTATTAAGAGGATATTCTTATGAACATAAAGATCAGTACAAGGGGTATATAGGTCAGTATTAAGATGCTTCCTTAGTATATATGATGCTCTAGAGTTGATCCCTCATACCATAAGAGACAGAGGAAATCAGATTTACTTTATGGAAATTAAATGACTCAAATTTGTCCTTTTTTGTGTGTGTCAGTAAAAATGTAACAACTTATCAGCCTAATTTTCCTTACTGTAATTCTAATTACAGGATTTCTCTCTCTTTTTTTAACTAATCTTTTTACTAGATGTTCACTCTGCCCATTAGAACTTTATTATATAATTATTATACATGCTTGATATCATGGAATTTGATTGTTGAGTTCAGATTTTATGGATCTCTAATCAGGCTCAAGTTGATGATGGAGCTCCTCTGAAAATTTGTTTATCTCAATTCTGTAAGTGGATCAATACGATTCAACAACAGAAGAAAATTACATTTGCGACTGGAGTTTCTGAACCTTCTGCTTCTGAAGTAAAATTATGTGCATTTGTTACTTGGTCAGGTAAAAATATGAGTTGTACTTATCAATCACAAAAGGGTAGCAGTACCACTGTGTAATTCATTTGTTTAATGATTGATGTATTCTATTAGCTTATTTTGGTGGTAAATGGGAACTTCGTTGTTATATTTCTACACATGCATGCAATATATGCTAATCAAATTGGCCCCCCTCTATCATTCTCCTTTATTTTTCCTCTCCCTTCTTCAAACAGCTTTAATAAGTCTTATTCTTCTACTTTCATAGAAGCATATAAAGTACTTTAACCATATTAAATCTTTTACTGTTCACCCTTCCTTGTTCATCCTTCTGCCAACTCACACTGGTATCCATCCCTACTATATAATTCTTTATTTTTAATTTTAATATTTGTTTATCATAAAATTATACTAGTTAACCTCTTGGGTTAGGAAAAGAAATTCAAGTGCCTAGCAGATGTCAATCAAAAAGAATAAATTCCTGTTTCTAAAATCCTGATTTGGGGATACCTGAAAATTTAAGTCTATAGAAATATTTCTACCCGGAAAAGGTGACAGGATGTGCCTGCAATCCCAGCTATATAGGATGCTGAGGCACAAGGATAGCTCAAGTAGAAAAATTTGAATTCAGCTTGTACAAAATAGTGACATCCTGACTTTATTAAGAGAAACAGAAGAAAAGAGGAGGGGAGGAGAAAGGGAAGAGAAGAATGTTGAGATTTCAGGCATGGTCACCAAATCTTTTATGCTTTGACTGCTTTCTAATATAGACATCAAGGAAAAAAAGTAAACCATTTACAGTAGGTCTTTTGTATAACTATGATAAAGGATTGACATTATTCATGGATAATAGTGTTTTACCCTTGGTAGTACAGACTGATAGTCATATTTGGCTTTAAGTTTCAAAAAAGTTTGATTTTCGTAACACAGTATTTTTCTAGAATATAGAAAAATATAGGCTTTATAATTTATTAATTTAAGTAGGATTTTGCTGAAGGTTCAAGAAATACCTTCTTGGATTGGGAGTGTAGCTCAAGTGGTACAGCATCTACCTAGTCAGTAACAAGACTCTGAGTTCAAATCCTAGTACCACCAAGAAAAGGAAGGAAGGAAGGAAGAAAGGAAGGAAGGAAGGAGGAAGGAAAAAGGAAGGAAGAAAGAAGGAAGGAAGGAAAGAAAAGAATGACAGGTAGGGAAGAAGGAAGAGAGGGAGATGGAAATAAGTTCTTAAAACTTAGTACCAGTGTTACTTTATAATAAATTGCTGTTGTATTTTATATCATCGTTCATAGTTTGTTAATGAAAAATGTTGACATCATTGACTTTGTTCCATTTTAATGTTTAATACAGACTGGGACTTGGGAGTTTGCCTAGAGTATGAGTGTAAAAGAAAGCAACTTTTAAAACCTTTGTTTTTAAATTATTGGATTGATCTCAGAGCAACTTACAAGGTAAGAGTGAAAAATTGGGGTAAGTTCGCTTTCCTTTTATTGAAAATGATTGCATTTTATTCCATGCATATGTATGGGTTTCTTCAAATGAGATATTTTCTTTTGGAGTGTTCATGTAAATATATGTCTTAAAAATATTTAAAGATAACACACAAAATCAGCCCATTTCAAATAGAAGTAAGAGTCATGAGAAATAATTGGTTAATACATACCCTTCTAAATAGTAATTCTATTTTTAGGTATTTCTTCTTCTATTTCATTAGCTTTTCTACAGGAGAAAACCAAAAGGACTAAGTGGTGCCTTGCAAGAAGTGGGAATAGAATTCTCAGGAAGGGAACATTCTGGTTTGTATAAACTTTTTTTTTTTTTTTTGGTTGGTTGTGGGGCTTGAACTCTGGGTCTGAGCTCTGTCCCTGAGTTCTTCAGCTCAAGACTAGCGCTCTGCCACTTGAGCCACAGTGCCACTTCCGGTTTTCTGGTGGTTAATTAGAGATAAGAGTCTCTCATGGACTTTCTTGCCCAGGCTGGCTTTGAGCTGCAGTTCTCAGATCTCGGAACTGTATCCCTAAGCCACATTCCCAGTCCTGTAATAAGCTTTTTTTTTTTTAATAAGTAGTTGTACAAAGAGGTTTCAATTCTCTAAGTCAGATTTTGAATACGAAAATACAAAATTTCATTTTATTATGAATCATTTTATTATATAACTTATTTGGCTTGTGAAAATTTTTATATGAATCTTATTTTTGGGAAATGCCATTAATAAAGGATATCTTTCAGCCAAAAAAAAACCCCTACTACCAGGCACTGGTGGTTCATACCTGCAGTCCCAGCTATTCAGGAGTATGAGATCTGAGGATTACAGCTCTAAGCTAGCCCAGGCAGGAAAGTCTTTGAGCCTCTTTCCATTGAACTACCACAAAAAACAAACAACAACAACAACAAAAACTTGTTTCTGATTTTTAGATTTCCTATTTATGAGCTATTTAAGATAAAAACTGCCATCTAGCAGGCTTTCTAATTGCTGAAATAAGTGAAAATCAAATCAAATGGAAATTAAACAAGACTACTAAAAAAAACCTGAACATAACTACTGAAAAATTATGGTCATACAGAATTCAGCTTACTTTTTTGGATACTGTATAACAAATTTTCACACCCTTCACTAAAGATGAGAAAGATGAAAAAGATTTTTATCTTACATTGGGAATGCTGCCACTGCTTTCCACAGACCAATTTATTATGATTGAAATTAGTTAGTGGACATAAAGCTAACAATATGCTTCAACTTCTATTTAAGAAGTAATATTTTTCTTTAGTTTTTTTTTGTTTTTTTGTTTGTTCTTTTTTATTTTTTACACGTAGCACTACTAAATTCAGTGTTCAATATCAATTTCCTTAGGGTTAGATGATTCCCGGAATACTGCTCTTCTTGCTTGGAAAATGATCAGGGATGGCTGTCTAATGAAAATTACAAGGACCATCCATAAGGTTAGTGGTGTCTCATCACTTTATTCTCTCATCTCAAACTCCATAGTAGTCATAAGTTCATTGAAACTGGATTTCATGTGGACAATCATTTGTAACCAATGATGTTTTTCTTTTTGTCATACAATGTCTACTGAAGAAATTATAAATGCACAATTTCTAAAGTTGTTGGATTTGTCTATGGAATCATAGGTTCCTACTAAGAAGAATTCCAACATTTCGGCCAGAAATGTCAATATAAATCAAGTTGAAGAAACATCTACTTACAACATTTGCACCCATGGTCCTAGCATATATGAAAAGAATCCTAAAAATACAACAAATGTCCATGAAAAAGTTCAAATAAGCTCAGTTTGTGTGAATTCCCATATAAAGGCACAGAAGGATCAATTACAAGTAAAGAGTCATATAAAAGCAGATCTTCAAAATGCCAAAAGTTGCTTACCTCTTTGTGATACTAAACCCTCTACTTCTTTGGGACAATTACTATCTCCTACCTTGAATTCACCTCTCTACATACAGAAGCAAAGAAAAAGTGTCCATTTTGCATTTAATGCCAAATCTAACTCTTCCACATTGGGACCTGAATTGATACGTGTTGCCACTACCATTCCATCTGTTGTTAATCATGTTTCTGATAAGGAAATGAGTTCTGCTCTTGACTGTTTACCTATGTTGGTTGATTGGGAAGATGCAGTTTTACTGCCAGCATCTCAGCCTGAGCAAAATAAAGATTGTACGCCTCCTATTGATGATACAAACTTAGACATTTTATTTAATTCTGGAGAAAGACTAGTGGATTTAAATGAATCAGAAATGTTAAGTCATGAAAACTTCAGAGACAGTAAAGAACCTCCTGAAAAAATTGAGACCTCTAAGTCTGTTGTGTATAAGAGCCTTCACACTACCATTTATAACGTAAAAGAATCCAAACATTTAGATTCAGATGTTTCTGCCTTTAAATTACCTGAACACAAATCATGTGCCTTCAATAATGTTCATGCCAGTGTATCGAATCCGATGGTTTTGAGAAAACATGCTCTTGTTTTAGATAGTACTAAAAGGAACTCATCTAGTTCCCCATCTTTCCCACCAGCAAAAAAACAGACTTTCACTATTCATGAAGAAAAATCTATGTCATCTGATAGCTCCCCCATAAGGAGTCCTTCCTGGAACATTCTCCCCTCTATATTAACATCTACAGTTAATGTAAAAGAGCCTTGGAAGAGTACAAAAATGACACCTCCCTTATGCAAGTGTGGCCGAAGATCTAAGAGACTTGTTGTTTCTAATAATGGACCAAACCATGGAAAAGTCTTCTATTGTTGCCCTATTGGAAAACACCAAGAAAACAGAAAGTGTTGTGGTTATTTTAAATGGGAACAAGCACTTCAAAAGGAAAGAGCCAGCAGCATTGTTCTGTCTCATTCCACAGGGGAACTCACTTTTCATTCTCCAGAAACAAGACATACACATGACAGAAATTTAAGTTTTTCTACTAAAAATTCTTTGAAACTCAGGCCTTCAATGAGAAATTGACAAAATTTCTTTACATCTGAAGTATATTTTTACTTTTCATATAAATTCTATTTGACTTTTCGCATAGGAAAGATAAAAAGTACAGGGTTATAAGATAGCATATCTGAGCTCTATACACACATACTAACTAAAAAGAGAAAATAACTGTCAGAACTTTTCCCTTCACCAAATTATTTACCAATTGTCTTCTGTTTATATGTGTGTGACTCCTAATTGTTCCTTAAATTCCAAAACATGAGTATCCTAATACCTTGTATAATTTTATTTATATTTTATTATACTTGTTTTAAAGAACTGTAAATAAATATTTCTGTAAACTGTATTTATTAGGTTAAGTATAATTAAGCAATAGTAGTACATGATACCTTTTCTAGTTAACCTTGAAACAAATTTTAAATTTTTTGAATGAAAATTTGATGAATAAAAATCCCTATTTTCAGGAATACACTGAGAATTATAAGCTTATGAAATTGTTTATTTTTCTAGAAACTTGTATTAAGTTTTATTTCAAGGCTTAAAGATTAATCTGTTTATCAACATACTTGAACAATTAAGGTCTAAAAAACAAATGGATCAGAGATTTGATTTGGAAACGGTTTCTGTGTTCTAGATTTTACAATTCTAGGCTGGCTGCTGATGGCTCATTGGAAGGTGGAAATAGGGAAGCTTGTAGATTGAGGTCAGCCTGGACAAAAAGTTCAAGATCTCAATCTTAACCAATAGCTTGGCACAGGTGTATATGTGTGTGTGGAGGGGTGGGGGGCGTGCCTGATGGGGTTCTGCAATCAGGAGAATGGTTCCAAGTCAGCCCAAACACAACTGTTTACACCCCATCCCAACAGAAAAGCTAGATATAGTGGATGTGCCAGCCATCCCAATGAGAGTGGGAAGGACAAATAGGAATATTGTGGTCCAGATCAGTCCAGGCAAAAATGGAGACCCTGTCTTAAATTGTCAGAGCAAAAAGGGATAGAGTATGGCTCAAGTGAGAGAGTGCCTGTCCAGTAAGCATAAAGCTTTTAATTTAAGCCCTAATACACCACACACACACACACACAATTCCTCTGTGATCTTTTTTTTGTCACCAAACTACAGGAACATTGACACTAATGCAAAAGGATTTAGTGGGTGCTGATTTACAAATGCAGCCTCTGGTATCAAAATAATTTTAGAATACACAGTTTAGAAATACACAGACAACATTTCTATGACCTCTTCATAATCTTGTGGTTTCTACAGATGTTATAGAATCTTTGATTATGATGAATTCACGTTGTATTCCATTCTTTGTTCCTCAGTTCACTTCTTTTTATCTTCCCACTGATAGTCTTTGGCAGCTCTTCAATAAATTCTATCTGTTGTTATTCAAGAGGATGAAAATTAGTCTAGAAATTTGCAACTTTGATAAGGCTGATAATATACTAAGTAATATAGGGCACCCATTAGTGAGAGGTATTGTTGAGATTTTTCTTTATGTTTAGTAATTACTGTAATTCCAGTGAGCCAAATGACCAAGCAAATTAATTGAGGAGCTTCACTTTAACCTAAAAAATTCTGATATATCCATCTATCATTCTCTATTTGAGACATTTTGTGTAGTGTATTTAATTAAAATAAGTAGCTGAAAATTTTCCAAAACACTAAATAAATGTTAATCCTCATTAGGATACCTACCTTTCTGGGATATTTGTAAGGTGCTGTGGTCTTTTTTACATGCTCCTGGATCTCTACTTTTAGCTGTTCTTGGTCTTGTGACTTGTAATCAGGATTCAGAACAACAAAAGCCTTTACTACCTAAAATAAATATTTGAAATATCAGACATGAGTTGTGGTTTTTTTATGTTTTAGTATACCTTGCCTGTTTTTTCTACCTGAACCAAGGTTGAATCCCAGTCCTGTGCACTTTAGTCAGAAAATTGATATGGACCCCTTGCTTTGTTTATTAAAGTACTTGGATCCATGCATCATTTTGAAATGTTTTTAATTTTGTCTTTGCTGGTACTTGGGTTTGTTCTAAGCCTTACACTCACTTGACTTGCTTGTTCATAGCTGGCACTCTACCACCACTTGAGCCACCCCTCTATCCTAGCTTTTTGTTGATTGTTTTGGAGATGAGTCTCTAACTATTCTACCCAGGCTGGCCTTGAACTGTAGCCCTCTGGATCTCAACCTCTTGAGTAGCTAGGACTATATATGCCTGAATCACCAGTACCCAGATGAAATCTGGTATGTAGAGGGAGAGAGTGTTGCTTGTTTGCACAAACACATGTTAGTCCTAGGGCTTGAACTCAGGGCCTGGGCTCTGTCCCTGATTTCTTTTGCTGCAGGTTAGCACTGTAGCACTTGAGCCACAGTGCAACTTCGAGCTTTTTCTGTTTATGTGGTACTGAGGAATTGAACCTAGAGCTTCATGTATGCTAGGCAAGCACTCTACCATTAAGCCATATTACCAGCCTTTTTATTGTTATAAAGGTGGTGTGCAGGGGGGTTACAGTTACATAAGTCAGGTAAAGAGTACAGTTCTTTTTGCAAAATGTCACCCCTTCCCTCGCTTTCTCCCAGTTTTTCCCTCTCATCCCCACTCAAAAGTTGTATAGTTCATTTTCAACATAATGTCTAGTGATTACTACAGCTGCATTTGTTCACCTTTTGTCCCTCCATTTCTGTGCCCTGCCTTACCTTCCCAAAGACAGATAAACAATACAAAAAGGAAAGAACAGCAGTACAGAAAAAAACTTGTTTCCATTTCATGGAGTTCATTTTTATTTTATTTTATTTTCCAGTCCTGGGGCTTGAACTTGGGGCTTGGGCACTGTCCTGAGCTGCTTTTTGCTCAAGGCTAACAATTGAGCCATAGTACCTCAACTTTTTCTGTGATTAATTAGATCAGAGTCTCATGGGCTTTCCTGTCCAGGCTCTGGCTTTGAACTGTGATCCTCAGATCTTAGCCTTCTGAGTACCTACTTTTATTTTTTATTTATTTATTTATTTATTTTTGTCGGTCGTGGGGCTTGAACTCTGGGCCTGGGCGCTGTCCCTCAGCTCAAGGCGAGCGCTCTACCACTTGAGCTACAGTGCCACTGATCTTAGCCTTCTGAGTAGCTAGGATTACAGGCATGAACCACCAACACCCAGTGATAAATATTTTATGTAATCAGTTGCACATAGGCATTGCATCTTTGTGTGCTTCTAAAACTATCCTCTGATCTCCCTGTGTGAATGCCTAGAGTCCTGTATAATTTGTGTCCAGGTATGTTTTAGATTTAGCTTCTGCATAGGAGAGGGCTTTGAGTTCTTGCTTTGCTTTTTACACTTATGGCTGGCATGCATCCACTTTTGACTTTTTTGCTGGTTTATTGGAGAAAAGAATCTTGGATTTTTCTACCCAGGTTGGCTTTGAACTGATTCTCCTCAGATCTCAGCCTTCTGAGTGAGTAGCTAGGATTATATGCCTGAGCTACCAGTGCCCAGCTCTGAAATCAGCTTTCTGACCTGTTTTGTCTAGGACTGTATTCACAGCATTGTCTTCATAAACAGTAGTCACACTTGATTTGTCATATTTTTGTTGAAGGTAGTCAGTTCACTAAGAATATGAATGCTCTCCCTCTACCCCCCACAGGTGCTACTGGGATTTGAATTAGGTCTGTCATGGTTGCTAGGCAGTTGCTTTACTATGAGCCATTTTTGTTTTAGTTATTTTTCAGATAGACTCTAGTCTCATATGTTTTTGCCTGTTGCCAGCCTGAATCCAAAATCCTTCCTATAGCCACTAGCATAGCTGGAATTACAAGCATGAACTTTCTGGGCTGGCCTTGAACATCAGACCTCACAATATTCTGAGTAGCTAGGATTACAGCTATGAACCACAATGCATGCCCCATGCATACATTATAGGAGGCTGTTAATTTTTCATTAGCTATTTTGTTATTCCTCTGGCTCATGGTCCTGAGGAGCAAGAATAGAAATGGTACTGGGTGCTGTTGGTTCATGCCTGTAATCCTAGCTACTCAGGAGGCTGAAATCTGAGGATCAAAGTTCAAAGCCAGCCTGGGCAGGAGAGACTGTGAGATTCCTATCTCCAATAAACCACTAGAAAAAAAAACGGAAGTGGCGCTGTGGCTCAAGTGGTGGAGCGCTGGCCTTGAGCTGAAGAGCTGAGGGACAGCGCCCAAGCCCAGCCCTACAACCGACATAAAAAAAAGAAAAAGAAAACTAAAATCTTAGGAAATTCATAGATCAAGTGTGCAGCTCCAATTCTCTTGCAACTTAATCCAGAAGTAAAACTTGATTACAAATTATTTAATAATTTTCACCATTTGATGAGAAAGAGGTGATTTTAAAATTTTCACACACAACTGTTGAGATGGGAAAAAAAATCAGTGAGCAGTTTTATAACATTTTGAGCGAGTACTCATTTTTGTCTTTATTTTAAAAACCCTTTGAACATTCCTAATTAATATATTGCCATGAGCAGTTGTGCAACCACGTGTGTTTATGTATGAATTTATTATCCAATTCATTATTGACATTTTATAAACATTTAAATCTATTTAATACTCCGTGAGTTTCTAAACATTTTTAACCCAATTAAAAATCTATCCTTGTTGGGTACAGTGACTCACACCGTAATATCAGCTAGTTGGGAGTTGGAAATTAGGAAAATTGTGATTTGAGATCAGCCTAAGAAAAAGGTTAGTTAGATTCCATCTCAATAAACCAGTCATTGTGGTTCACGCCTGACATTCCAATTATTCAGGGGGCTATAGAAAGGAAGATTTCATTCTGAGACCATACTCAGGCAAAAACACAAGACCTTAACTGAATAATAACTTCAAAATTGGGAGCAAAAAGGGCTAGGGGCAGCACAGGGAATGTGGCTCAGTGGTAAAGTGCTTACCTAGCATGCGTGAAGCCCTGGGTTTGGTTCTTCAGTATCACATAAGCAGAAAAAAACTGAAGTGGCTCTGTGGCTCAAGTAGTAGCAAGCTAGCCTTGAGCAAAAGAAACTCAGGGACAGTGTCCAGGCTCTTGAGTTCAAGCCCTGGGACTGGCAAAAAAAAAAGGTGTGGGGGGTGGGGAGGTGTAGGGGAAGGGCTTAACTCAAGCACTAGAACATAGCAAGAACTTAGCAAGAACAATGCCCTCAGTTCAAATAGCAGTGGGTAGTTTTATTACTGCCAAACTTTTTATTAGAAGTTTGCCCCCCCCTTTAGTTCAAGCCTCAGTGATGGCAAGACTAAATTAAAAATAAAATGATCATTGCTATAAAGGAATTGTTCAAAAACATTTTTTAAATTTTGTAATCAGTTTCACATGTTGATGACATCTATATTATAAATAAAGTCTGCCTTACCTTTCTAAAACACTATAAAAAGTTACTAAGGAAAACAACCTAGCTGGGGCTGGGAAAGTGGCTCAGTGCTAAAGTGCTTGCCTTGCATGCATGAAGCCCTGGCTTCAATTCCTCAGCACCACATAAACAGAAAAAGCCGGAAGTAGGTGCTGTGGTTTAAGTGGTAGAGTGCTGGCCTTGAGCTGAAGAGCTGAAGGACAGTGCCCAGGTCCAGAGTTCAAGCTCCATGACTGACAAAAAACAAAAACAAAACAAACAAACAAAAAAACCCAAGCCTTATGATTAAAGGACAACTTGTACTCAAATCACAGTTTACTGCATAATTTTGAGCAAGGTCTTAGTTTCTTTTCTCTAAAAGAAGTTATGAGGATTAAATAAATGCCTTAGAGTAATACCTGGCACGTAATAAGTCATCAAAATAGTAGTTTGTAGATATAGCAGTAAAAAGTATAAGGAGTTAGGGATTTTGAGTTTTTCCTTTTTTTCCTGTCAGAACTTGGGTTGGAACTGAAGACCTTGTGCTGTTTGGCTTGCTCTACCACATGAGCTACATCTCCAGCCAGCTTTCTGATGGTGTTTGAGAGATGTAATCTTTCAGACTTTTCTGTCCAGGCTAGCTCTAAACTGTGGTCTTCCGGATCTCAGCATCCTGAGTAGTTAGGATTACAGATGTAAACCAACCACCAGCACCCTGCTTTTTTTTTTTTTTAACTAAAAATCCATACATGAGGCTTTGAAATTTCTCTGAAGTTCTGTACAAAAACCTCAGATTTTCTGAGAAGAGCCTCTGACCCTGACATTCAATATATAGCCACACACAAGCAACATGTGGTTATTTAAATTAAATTAAAATTAGATAAGTCCCTTCAGTTACCCTAGCCATATAACAAGTGATTGCTAGTCATATTTTTTTTTTTGGGGGGGGGGGGGGTTCCGGTCGTGGGGCCTGAACTCTGGGCCTGGGCACTGTCCCTCAGCTCTTCAGCTCAAGGCTAGCGCTCTACCACTTGAGCCACAGTGCCACTTCCGGCTTTTTTTCTTTTTGCTTATGTGGTGCTGAGGAATTGAACCCAGGGCCTCATGCATACAAGGCAAGTACTCTTCCACTGAGCCACCTTCCCAGCCCAACTGGTCATATATTTTTAACTAGAGCTTTTTTCAAATTCTTAGAGGTGTGTGGTCCAGTAAATTTAAGGATCTAGTAATCTCAACATATAGTATTAAAATAACGTTTAAAATCTAAGTATTGTTTTAAGAAATAACAATATTTTAGGAAATAACAAAAAAACGCACCTATACCTTCATCCCTACTGGAAAGTTTTTGTTTTTTTGTTGTTGTTGTTTTTGTTGGTTGTGGGGCTTGACCTCTGGGTCTGAGCACTGTCCCTCAGCTCTTCAGCTCAAGGCTGGCTTTCTACCACTTGAGCCACAGCGTCACTTCCGCTTTTTCTGCTTATGTAGGGCTGAGGAATCGAACCTAGGGCCTCATGCATGTGAGGCAAGCACTCTACCACTGAGCCACCTTCCCAGCCCCCCTACTGGAAAGTTTTAAAGAACTTTCTGGCTTATATTGCCAGTGTGGTGCTATACTTATTTAATCCTAGCACCTGGTTGGCCATGGCAAGAGGATCCTGATTAGCCCAGCTTGAGCTACATAGTGAAACATTGTCCTTAAAATATCATGTATAGAAGCTGGATACCAGTAGTTCTCTCCTGTAATCTTAGCCACTGAAGAGGCTGATATCTGAGGATCATTATTTCCTGCTAGGGCAGGAACGAAAAGACTTTTTATCTCCAATTAAGCACCAAAACAAGAACAACAAAATCCAGATGTAGAGCTGTGGCTCAAGTGGTTCAGCACTCACTAGCCTTGATCAAAAACCTCAGGGACAGTCTCCTAGGCCCTGGATCAGCAACAACAACAAAAAAGTCATGTATAGAAACTACACTTTTTTAATTTATTTTTATTTATTTATTTATTTTTTGTTTACGTGGTACTAAGGAATCAAACTCAGGGCTTCATGCATGCTAGAAAGCATTCTGCCATTAAGCTATATTCCCAGCCCGAAACTACACATTTTTTTAAAAATTGAAAACATATGTAAGTAGATAAAGTAATTTTTTCAAAGCAAAATAAACATGAAATTCTTAAAAAAAAATAAAATAAAAATTGGCTGAAAATTTATAGCCGTATTATGTTAAGGTATTATTAAAGTATATTAATTATATTTTAAGCACCATTTGGATAATATAACAGAGAAAAAAACTAAATATTAAGCTGGGCACCTATGGCTCATGCCTGTAATCCTAGCTACTCAGGAGGCTGAGATTTGAGAATCATGGTTCAAAGCCAGCCCAGGCAAGAAAGTCTGTGAGACTCTAACTTCTAATTAATCATCAGAAAACTGGACGTGACATTGTGGCTCAAATGGTAGAGCACTAGCCTTGAGCTGAAGAGCTCAGGGACAATGCCCAGGCCCAGAGTTCAAGCCCCATGATGGACTCAAAAAAATAAAATCTTAAAATTTAATTAGTGGTCTGTTTCTTGCTCTCATTTACCTGGAATATTGCCTTTTACAGTGAATAGGAGTTTTCATACTAATAACTTTCCAAACTAGCAAACACCAGTCATTATTCAATGTACAAAACAATTTTGGGCCTGTGCTAGTGGCTCATACCTATAATCTTGGCTATTGAGGAGACTGAAGATGAAGATCACAGTTCCAAGCCAGCCTGTAGAGGAAAGTCCATGAGACTCTGTCTCCAATTAACCAGAAGCTGGAAGTGGAGCTTTTGTTTAAGTGGTAGAACACTAGCTTTGAGCTAAAAAGCTAAGCCCCCAGGCTCTGAGTTTAAGCCCCAGTACCTGCACCAAAAAATAAAATTAATTAATTAATTAAACTTATCCAATCCCTGAGATTGAATACTTAATAAATCTTTCTTATATCTGCTACTTTTTCAAGCCCTCTACCTAGGATTTGGGATAAGGAACTTGATTATATGATACAGAAAATTCTGGACATGTGCTAACAACCATGTCATCTATAAAACTTTGGTCAATATTAGAAGGAAGATGTATTGACAAAATACTGTGGGAAGACAGTGTGATTCCAGACAAACCTTGGAGTTATGTTGGAGATACATTGGTAAAACCCAGGAAAGGAGTTTGACCTGGTAAAAGGTACCTGAAGAATGGCAATGGCAACTTTAAGCATAACTACCATGTGATCAGCTCTAAGAAGAGTGAGTTTTAGATCCCCTGTCTTGTTCTTTGCTCATTTTCTGAAGTGTTGTATTCATTTGCTTTCTCATGGTTGTCTCCATTCTTGTCACTGATATTGCTCCCACTCCTGACATCTGATGTCAGCCCTTCCTCCTCAGCAATACCAAGGCCATCACTGGCTTCCAGACTTGGATTAACTACTCCATCCAGCTGCCATCTAGAGTGAACCTGGATAATTGGCATCCATTCCATTTTTTGCCCCAGCCCTTGTTAGAAAGGATTTAAATTTTTTTCTAGCATGCTTTTTTTCTACCTTATCCTATAGCCCTTCTTTCTGGTGAACATATTTCTATCTGACGTCATTTAGTAAGTGATTTTTATCTGACTTGCATATTTAATAAATGAAACATTTGTGTGATTTTGTTTCAATAAAGTCCTCTTTTGTGTATTTTTATTTTTATTTATTTTTGTGCTAATACCAGAGCTTGAACTCCAGTCTCAGTGTGCTCTTGCTCAGCTTGTTTGGTCATGACTGACACTTTACCACTTGAGTCATACCTACTTTCTAGCTTTTTTCTGGTTAATTGGAGATTGGAGTCTCTCATATTTGTCTGCCCGAGCTGGCTCTGAACTATGATTCTCAGATCCCTGCCTCTTGAGTAGGTAAGATTATAGGTGTGAGTCACCAGTGCCCCGCTTGTGAATTCCTAATTGAAAGTATATATTAAATTGCCAATAAAACAGAAGGTTAAGATGAATCAGTTATTTTACCTCTCCTCTGACAGGGTCTGGGCTACTGACAACAGCTGACTCGGCAACGGAAGGATGCTCCATCAAGACACTTTCTACTTCATATGGCCCAATTCGGTAACTGGGAAAGCACATGTCAACAGGAATTTATAAGGCTAAGTTAGGTTCATTCTGTAATGCCACTGATTAGTTCACAGAGGCAGTAAAGAAAATTACCCTGAGGATAATATGATATCATCTGATCTTGCAACAAACCAGAAATATCCATCTTCATCCATATACCCTCTGTCTCCAGTTATATAGAAATTGCCTCGTATAGTTGAAGCTGTCTTTGAAGGATTATCCTGTAAAACAAGTAGCATTATCATGGATATGACTGCTTTAATATGTTAAAACTTTAACTATTCAAAGAAAAAGAGTTGGACTTTTTTAAGAAGGCTTAGAATGAAGAGGAGCCAGAGTGTGAAATAAGGATAAAATTCCAACATGGAGCTAGTACAATATAAGAAAGGTAAAAAAGTAAAGTGTGGCCAGATGCTGTTGGCTCATGCCTGTAATCCTAGCTACTTAGGAGGCTGAGGATCACAGTTCAAAGCCAGCCCAGGGAAGGAAAATCCATGAGACTCTTATCTCCAGTTAACTACCAGAAAACTGGAAGTGGCGCTTAAGTGGTAGAGTGCTAGCTTTGAGCTGAAGAACGAAGGGACAGTGCTCAGACCCAGAGTTCAAGACCCACAACTGACCAAAAATAAAAGAAAAAAGACTAGGCACACTAGTTGAGAATTTTCTTAGCTAGATCACAAGATAAATGGTACGGGAACTCAGAACTCCAGCAGTTGGCTAATTAAATAATATTGAATTGCTGAATAATACCTCATAGTATTAGGAAAAGAAAGAAGTGAATATTCACAGTTAAAAGAAAGCAACAATACATAATAATTCAAAGAGAAAAAAAATTTGTTTTGTTTTATACCAAAAGAATTGATCTATATGTTAGATTATTTGGACTTTGCCAGAAAACCACGCAGATATCTAGGTACAGAGAACAAAGAAAACATTTATTGCTGGGAAAGGGGCCAGCAAGACCCCTCACAAGCGAGAGGTGAGAAGTAGTGCTGGCTGTTGTCTGGGATGCCCTATATAACCAAAGAAGTTCAGGAGGGTCTAGAGACTGAGGCAAGACCCTGGTGTGATGGACATGAGGGCCAGGGACTTCATCATGGCAAACTAGGATTCATAGATGCTGTCCAAATAGTAGATAAGGGCCCCTGCAGCTGCCCAGACCTGAAGGTCACTCTAAGGGGTTCTTATTGACTTATGTGGTGATAGCTGCCCCAGAGAAGTGCCATCCTAAGGTAAAGGGGAGGTTGATTATTTACTGCCTTTACTAAGTGGGCCTAGTGTTGCCTAGGAAAGCAGCATGCTAAGCTGTGAAGAGGAGAAGGCACGTACTAAGCTATGGTAAGGGAGCTCATTTTGCTAACACTATAATTCTAGCATAAGAGGGAAAAGGAAAGAAGGATTGTTACTTTATATAAACCAGTAAGCAGAACCTGGACCTGGATCCTTTACTATAGTGATAAAAGGTTTGCTTTGCCAGGCACCAGTGGATCATGCCTATAATCCTAGCGAGGCAGGAGACTGAGATCTGAGGGTGGTAGTTCAAAGCCAGCCTGAGCAGGAAAGTCTGTGAGACTCTTATCCCCAATTAACCACCAGAAAATTGGAAGTGGTACTGTGGCTTAAGTGGTAGAGCACTGAGACTGCACCCAAGCCCAGAGTTCAAGCCCCATGACCGACCAAAAAAAGTTTGTTCTAATCTGTAAACCATTATTAGAGATAAAAATATGTTCAACAGACTTTAAGGAAGCAGAAGCCTCTAGTAACAGGAATTCAGTTAATCCAAGTCTATTTCTCCAGTTCCTCCGGAGGAGGGAAGAACACTAATCAGCTGTGTGGGAGAAGGGTGGGTGAGGCTTAATAGTTAAGAGGAATACTGGCGAGCAGAAAGCTATAGTGATACCTACATCTCCGCATCTAGGAGGCTGAGATAAGGACAGTGAGACTGAGGTCAGCCCCGGCTATATGTTGTTAAAACTTTGAGACAACTAAACCACAACAACCAAAACAGAGCAATAGAAAATGGACACTTGAGGCTGGGAAGGTGGCTCAGTGGTAGAGCGCTTACCTTGCATGCATGAGGCCCTGGGTTCGATTCCTCAGCACCACATACACGGAAAAAGCCGGAAGTGGTGCTGAGGCTCAAGTGGTAGAGCACTAGCCTTGAGCAAGGATAGCTCCAGGCCCCGAGTTCAAGCCCCATAACTGACCAAAAAAAACAAAAACAGGACACTGAAGACATAAATGTAATTGCCTTTTTCGTGTTTCCTCTTTTCACCTTTTTGGTTTTCTAACATACTAGACCAGTGTGATCTTTAGAAAGCAATTGAATGTTTTTTCAGTTCCCTTTCTGGAAGATTACTACACTCAAGGCCATGAATCTCTAAAGAAAGGGACAAGGGGGCGTGGGGAGGATGGGAAGGGATGGGAAGGGGAAACAAAGGAGGAGGCTACAATGCTTGATAAGAAATGTACTCATTATCTTGCCCATGTAATTGTAACCCCACTGTACAGTATTTTCACAATAAAAAAAAAAAGAAAGGGACAAATCCCTAGCCTAGGTTTGCTTTGTGAGAAATAAGGACAAGCATCAAGCACTTTTAAGAAATAGAAAACTAGAGATGTTTTTTAAAGATAAATATCTTACTACATAATGAGTAAAAAGACCAAGTGGTCGGTTAGGTAGAACTTGAAGCCCAATATCGCCTTCTTTTCCAGGAGGTAGAGCATTGCCATTTTCATCTATAATCTACAAGAGAATAGAACAATTTATTTAAAGGGGATTTTACTTCAATGATACACCTTAAATTTTTAACTTTATGTATTTTATTGCCATATAAGAATGCAATCTTTAAAAATGTTTTAAGTATACTTCAATTCGTAAGAGAAATTATTTACTTTTCTTACTGCATAAAGTATTATTGAGTGCACATTACCAAAATGTGAAAGAAGAATAAAATGTTGCTGAAATTCCACCATTGAATGCTAATCACATTTTGGTAATATCTTTTAAAACAACATAGACATAAGAAAAATTAGCATCACTTATAGGGAATTTCATTAAAACTAGAAAGTGTGTGTACCAACCTTAACATCAAAAGCAGGAGAAGCCTTTCCCATTGAGCCAGGCTTAATTTTCATTCCCTTAAAATTTCCACAGATTAGCACCTAGTTATGAAGAAGAAAAATAAGATAACATTATCGTATATTATCATACATTCATTGTACAAATATTTGCTTTAAGAACTTACTATGAACCAAAACCAAAATTAAGTCTCTCTTTTTTCATGGAGTATAGAGATTGACAATAACTTACAAGTGTATATAATAAAATTTTTGAGAGAATAAATTCATAATTGCTAAACTATCCATTATTATGAAAACAATGAGTATATTAATATTTGTACTTGTATTCCTATGATAGTTGTTGTGCTCATTGTTTTTAAATAATTTGTTTTTGCTTTTAATTTTTTGGAATTTTTGCCCAGGTAATAATTCTCAGGGTTTATAAATTGAAACATTACAGAAAGATACACCATAAAAAAATTTCAACCTTTTCTTTATTTTCACTGTCTTATCCCTCCCTCTGGTACAAAATAACAACTTTGTTCTTACTTCATTCGTTGCCTATAGAATTCCTAAGAGCTCTTGGAAAATCCCCTTTAAAGTTGCTTACCAACTCCTTAAGAATTGAGTGTTTAAGGAAACAAGATGCTCAGCCAGTTTTCCACTTTGTGACAGCCCCGATTATTGCTCTTGACACAAATTCATTAGTATTTCATATTGTGGATCGTGGGACTTGAACTCAGGGGTGCTGTCCCTGAGCTCTTTTTGCTCAAGGTTAGTGCTCTATCACTTCTGAGCCACAGCTCTACTTTATCCCCAAGGGAGCTCTGCTCTTTGGGCTGTGTTTATGTATATGCCTTGCTGAGGCTTGGTCTCTACCCAACATGTGCCTGCTGTTTTTAAAAGCTTGGCTTAAGCTCTGTTTGAGGCTGCAAGTCTTTGTAATTAGCCACCTACAGACCACTAGCACTCCAATAAAGACTCCAAAATCCAACCCCTCAAAAAGAAAATATTGTGAAGCTGGGTACCAATGGCTCACATCTGTAATCTTAGCTACTAACTAGTTTCTCACAGGTTTTACTTTAAAAAAAGAAAATCTGATTCCTAACCACATCACTTACTCCCTTATCCTTCAAACATTCTAAGACATAATAGACATTTTGATTTTTACTTATCTAACCCAACCGTCTAGTCTTATCTTTTCAGGAAGGTCAAGTACCGTTTCTGTTTGTCCATATCCATTATAGATGTCCAGGCCTGTCCGGCTTTTCCATTGTTCTGTCACTTCAGGATTGATTGGCTCTCCTGCACTCACACAATGCTGTAAGCTTTTGAATTTGTAGCTTCTCAGACAAGAGATAACACATTTAAGATTAAGAGAAAAAAAATGGGAAGAATTAGAAATTAGAAGTGTTGTTCATACCAAATAAACATAATTCTAGTATAAAATTATACCAGTTTTGCTTTTTGTTTTGGGTTGTAAAGCCATGTCATCCTTAGGGAAGGTATACAACAATAACATTTTAAATAAACAGTTAAAATTTCCCTTACATTTATTTATAAGCCTGAAGTTGTGGGTGCAGTGAATTGTTCTTTCTTTTCAGATGAACAATCAATGCATACAAATGGAATCAATAATTTTTAAAGCATGTATTCTTTTTTTCTATTTGCTGGGATAAGATTCTAAATAGGAGCAACTTCTTTATTGTCACAGTTCAGATAACTTCCATCACCCAAAAGATTAAGAACTTTCTTATCTCTCCAGTTTTTACTAGCACCTGTTATTTGTACAGGGGGGTTCATTTTGACAGTCAATTTAAGGGTACAATATACTTGATCAGTCTAACTCCTTGCAACTCTCTCCATCATACTCTCACCTCCTCAAACCAATCTTAATTCATTGTTTCATTTTCACATGTGTACATGAAGCGTTTTAGCGTTTTAACCACATTCTCCTTTCTTTACCCTCTGTTGGCGTTTTCTCCTTCTCATTCTTATCCACACAGGTCTCAGACAGGACCTGTTTTACTTTCTGATCATTCATTTTTAAAAGTATATGCTGCTGGGCACTGGTGGCTCATATCTGTAATCCTAGCTACACAGGAGGCTGAGATCTGAAGATCGCCATTCAAAGCCAGCTGGGCAGGAAAGTCCGTGAGACTCTCATCTCCAATTAACCACCAGAAAACCAGAAGTGGTGCTGTGGCTCAAGTGGTAGAGCACTAGCCTTGAGTTGAAGAGCTTAGGGACAGTGCCCAGGTCCAGAGTTCAAGCCCCATGACCAACCAAAAAAAAGAAAAAAAGTATATGCTTTCTGATAATAGGTGGCTCACTCCTGTAATCCTAGCTACTCAGGAGTCTGAGATCTGGGGATCATGGTTTGAAGCCTATAATTACAAACATATATAAATTATATAATTATATATATTATATTGTGTACATTATATGTGATTATAGTATAATTATATATTTAGTATATAATTATATATTATATATTATCACATAATATATAACAGCATCCTAACCAGCATATGTTGTTACTTGTGTCCTTAATAATGATCATTCTGACTGGAGAATTTCATCTCAGTGCCATTTTGATTTTGATGCATTTTTTAACAGCCAGGGCTATTAATCATTTCTTTATGTATTTATTGGACATTTGTATTTATTTCATGAATTATCTGTTCAGTACATTTGCATATTTATTTGATTCTTTGGGATTTTCATTTTTTCTTCTTTTAGTTTTACCTCTTTGTAAATATTTTGCTCTCTGTCAGATATACAGCTGGCAAAATTTTCTTCCAGTCTGTTTGCTGTCTCTTCAGTTTAGTGACTATTCCCTTTGCAGCACAGAAACTTTTTGATGCAGTCCTATTTGTCAGTCCTTGCTCTTAGAGATACTCTAGTTCTATTCAGAAAGTTGCTGCCTTAAAGGACGCTGATGGATTACACTTGTAGTCCTAGCTACTCAGGAGGTTGAGATCTAAGGATTGTGGCTCAAAGCCAGCCCCAGCAGGAAAGTCCATGAAACTCTTATCTCCAATTAACCACCAGAAAGCCAGAAGTGGCTCAGTGGCTCAAGTGGTAGAGCACTAGCCTTGAGCTGAAGAGCTGAGGGACAGCACCCAGATCCAGAGTTCAAGCCCCACAACTGACAAAAAGCAAAGTTGCTGCCTATGCCAGTATGTTCCAATGTTTTCCCTATTGTTTCCTGTAGTAGTTCCAAAGATTGTTACATTAATATCCTTTATCCACATTGAATTTATATTAGTATAGGATAAGAGATAGGATTCCAGTTTCCCTTAGGTTATCTTCTCTTCAATATATATTTTGGGCTTCTTTGTCAAAATATAAGATTGTTGGTGCTGTTTGTATTTATTTCTGGGTATCCTATTCTTTTCTGTTGTATTCTATTCAGATGTTCCTTTCTGCTCTGTTGCTCATGCATGGGGATACCTCCAAAACTCATGTTTTTGTTTTGTTTTCTCAAGATTTTTTTTTTTTTTTTGGCTATTTAGGGTCATTTGTGCTTTAATAGGAATTTTAGGACTAAATTTTCTATTTCTATGAAGAATTGTGATCTTGATGGGAATTGGATTAAATCGGTAGATTACTTTGGGTATCATAACCATTTTCTTAATAATTCTTTCAGTCCATGAGCAAAGAAGTCTTTTCCTTTTCTGGTGTCTTCAATTTTCTTCTTCAAAGTTTTATGGCTTTTATCTCTGTTAAGTTTACTCCTAAGTAAATGCCTAGACTATTGTGAGGCTATTGTGAGTGTAGTTGATTTCCTGATTTATTTTTCTGGCAAGGCAATTATTTACTTTCGCCAAAGAGTATACCATTAGCCAAAAATCTTGCAAGCAAGCACGCAAAGCATGTAGACGGATCCCTGTTTATCCCTAATGCTGCAAGCCCTGCCCCTCTGCTCAAATTGGCCAAGCTCAGAATCACAATCTGCTCACACTTGGCTAGTTTGAAGACAGTAGGATGCAGCAAAATACAGTTTTACATGTTAAAAAGTAACCATTAAAAGACTTTTGGTGGGGGGGAGGGAGGTCGATCGTGGGGCTTGAACTCTGGGCCTGGGTGCTGTCCCTCAGCTCTTCAGCTCAAGGCAAGCGCTCTACCACTTGAGCCACAGCACCACTTTTGGTTTTCTGAGTGGTATATTGGAGATAAAAGTCTCATGGAGTTTGGACTGGCTTTGAAGCATGATCCTCAGATCTCAGCCTCCTGAGTAGCTAGGATTACAGGCGTGAGCCACCGGTGTCCGGTGTCCGGTATCCAACCATTAAAGACTTTGATTGCTGTATGTACAGCAATTTCAAAACATACTCACACCTTCTGCTACTTTTTTGAACAATCTGAGGTGTATCTTACACCCTTTGCTACTGTCTTGAGCAGTCTGAGGTGTGGATTTCCTGATTTCTTTCTCAGCCTGTTCACTATTATTATCCAGAAAAGCTTCTGATTTTTTGATATGTTGATTCTCTATCCTGCTACATTGCCAAACATGTTTATCAGATATGAATTTGGGGGTAAATCTTTACATTCTTTAAATAAAAGATCACATAATAATGGGCTCAGAGCTACAGACATAGCTCAGCCTCCCTTTTCTTTCCTTTGTGGAAGCCTCCCTAGTTACAGAACTTATCATTTGTAGAATGTCAACAAGAAGGAGCAGGATGAAAAGGAAAGGACTATCAAACCATACACACACACACACACACACACACACACACACACACACACACACGCGCGCGCGCGCGCGCACACACACACACATTAGTCTGAAGTTCCCCTGCTTTTAGGCAGAAAGGCCTTTTGTTTTCCAGCTTCCTCTTCCTTTTCTTTTTTTTTTCTTTTTTTGTTTTTTTGGGGGGTCCTGTCATGGGGCCTGAACTCTGGGCCTGGGTGCTGTCCTTCAGCTCTTCAGCTCAAGGCTAACTCTCTACCACTTGAGCCACAGCGCCACTTCCGGCTTTTTTCTTTTTGCTTATGTGGTGCTGAGGAATCGAACCCAGGGCCTCATGCATGCAAGACAAGCGCTCTACCACTGAGCCACCTTCCCAGCCCTTCCTCTTCCTTTTCTCTCTCACCAGTTAGCACTTATATACCAGTTTAATCTTACCTTGTCATATCATTCTGTACAAGCATTCGGTATGCAGTTGGTGCTGAACAGAAGACTGTGATGGGAAACTCAGAGAGTGTCTGAAATTAAGAAAAGCAAACGCTTGGCCTCACTATGCCTTAATAAGTGTTTGAATGTCTATGATAGGCCCAGCATGATGGAATCATTATTTATTTACTTTAGTGTACATGAACTCACACTGCTTATCTTTTCAGGCTTATCGATTTACAAGTTATGACATTTCTTAAATCATGATGTCTACTGTGATCTCTGCAAGTTACCTTATTCATCAGTCCTATCAGTGATACTACTATTACATTTCTAAATATGGACCTATTGTGCTCTTTCTTACTTGTAAGATAGAAGTTGACTCAAAACGGGGCAAATGGTGTGCAAATACACATGCTCCTTGGATCCATGGAGAAAAAACACTACTCCATGCAGACTTTGCCCAGCCTGTATCTGAGGTATTCCACATCACATCTGAGGGTGTCAAATCCAGCCAGAACCTTGGAAAAACAAATAATAGTCTCAATATAGAAATTGGTTAAATTTGTAGGAATTTGACATACATAAATGTGCATGTGAATTTAAATGTACAAACTTGAATGTACAAATGTACAAATATTGAATTTGTAAGAAAATATTAAATTTGTAAGAAAACAAATTTAAAAAGCCAGTTTTGATTCAGTACTGTGAAAATACCTTCCATTTACAGATAATCCTAAACCAAAACTGCTATGGGTATGTCCAATCATTTTAGGAAGTCCAGTTGTTCCGCTGGTAAAGAAAATGGCCATCATCTCATTGTGTTTTGTTCTTACACAGGTATGATTATCACTGGCATGTCTGTAAAGGAAAATCTGTAATGAGTCTGCATGTTAAACACTGCCATCAAGTGTGCCCACTGAAAGGATTTGAGAAATCATCTACTTGGAATTTTTAATTTAATGCATTAGTCCCCAGTCACTTGAATCCCAAAATATAATTATAATACCTACCCCATAATCTCATTTAAATATATCTGAAATGCTTGGAACAGTTTCTGGAAAAATAATCAGTGCTATATAAATTTTAACTATTATAGAGGAGGTAGGAACAAGTCCATAGTTACAAGCTGGCTCTCAAACTCTTTAGGAAAGGTAAGAGGCTCATTGTAGGAAGGCAGTTTGCTGCCAGGTTAGTGCTAGGAACTGGCAAGAGTTCCAAATGACTCCTAGAAGTAACCCTTAGTAGGATTTGGAATTTCACCATGTACTTTAGATGTTGTTTTTATTTAAACCTAGTACAAGTCTGGTTGTGGTCACAGGTCTGATTGTGATCATTTTTTCCCAGCTTTTTTCAAAGATAATGACTTTGTGGTTGATGCCCTTCTTAGATCCCTCCTTGATTCCTCTGTAGGAATGAAGGACTTAATGTCCCCAGGTACTGGGAGCCTTCTTTAGAGGTTACCTGAGAGAAGTCTCTTTTCAGGGTTACCCATATCTAATATCTAATACCCATATCTAATAACTGGTCAAGGTGAATGTATAGAGGACATAATTGCTTGCTTTAGCTCAGAACTGCTTTGAGGATTGTCCAAACCAAACCGAGAGGTTCCCAGGGGTGAGGTGAGAGCTTTGTGGGAAATACATTGCAGATACATTTCTCTCTTTGCCCAATCTCATCTTCCTCGCTTTCCTTCACAGGTATTGATTCTAAGAGAACTCTTTTTTTTTTTTTTTTTCTTTTTGTCAGTGGTGGGTCCTGAATTCTGGGACAGCCTGTATGCTGTCCCTCAGCTCTTCAGCTCAAGGCTAATGCTCTACCACTTGAGCCACAGCACCACTTCTGGCTTTTTCTGCTTATGTGTTGCTGAGGAATTGAACCAAGGGCCTCATGCATGCAAGGCAAGCACTCTACCACTGAGCTACCTTCCCAGCCTCAAGAGAACCCTTTAATAAGCTTCTTTCACTTCATCTCAGGGATTGCTTCCTGAGGATACCAACATATAAAAAACACTTTCAACCTCTTCCTGCCTCAGAGCTTAGCACTGTTAATGCTGCAGTAATCACCAATTGTTCTGATTACTACTGGGTTGAGTAGTTTCTATTGCCTTTTTTTTTGTCAGTCATGTGGCTTGAACTCTGGGCCTGGGCACTGTCCCTGAGCTCTTCATTTCATAGCTAGTGCTTCACCACTTGAGTCAGAGTGCCACTTCTGGTTTCTGGTGGTTAATTGGAGATATGAGTCTCATGGATTTTCTGTCCAGGCTGGCTTTGAACCATGATCCTCAGATCTCAGCCACTAGAATAGCTAGGATGACAGGCGTGAGCCGCTGGCACCTGGCCTTTCTTTTAAGGAAGCTGCTCTGTAGTTAAGGCTACTCACTTCATCATCTCCTTGATGTTCCCCCACCCATCTCTGGAGTGCTTGGACACCATTAGCTTGCAGTGGAGATGTTCACACTTAGGGGCAACAGCATCTACTAGTGGGGCTAAAACATCATTGGTAATAATGCACTTTGCTTTTGAAGATTGCAGTCTGTAGAGGATGTCTTTCTGGGTCAGTTGAGGGGTTCCTGGGATTAAAATTGTTCCTAAAAGAGTATAAAATAAACAATATTTAAAAGTCAGGTTTTCCTTATGCTGTTTAGCATAGTGTAGATAGTGTACGTACTTTCTGTATTTTTCAGAATAGAAGACATCTGTCTTCTGTTATTCTGGTTTTGCCTCTCAAGAGGTCTCAAAATCTGCAATCCTTTTTCCTTAACACAAAAGAGTATTCAATTGAATAATTATCCTGTATTTGAAGACCATCCATTGGGCTTGAAGAATATTATAATTAAAAAGTAATTACTGAGTGCTGGTGGTGCATGCCTATAATCATAGCTACTCGGGAGACTGAGATCTGAGTATCATGGTTCAAAGCCAGCCAGGGAAGGAAAGACTGTGAAACTCTTACCTTCAACAAACTACTCAGAGAAATTGGAAGTGGTGCTGTGGCTCTCAGGTGGTAAAGCACTAGCCTTGAGTCAAATAAGCTCAAAGACGGTGCCCAAGACCTGAGGTCAGGCCCCAGCATCAGCACATGCACACGCATACACTCACACATACACACACACACACACACACACACACACACACACACACACACACACAATTACACAACACTTATTGAGTACTTGAATCTCAGATACTATTTTAAGTGTTTTTCACATTTTAACTCATTCAAAACATAACAGAAAAACTCCTAAATATAAAAGCTGTGGGTAACTTGCCCAAGATTACCTAAGTAGCAAGTGGCAGGTAAGGATTCAATGCTACAGCCTGACACAGAAGCTAGACACTTGCCACTTCAGTCCAATGACTCTTATAGTGTACATGATTGTTTGGGGTTTTCCCAGAAAGAAAATGGTTGGCACATGCATCTTTATTTTTTTTCATCCTTCTCTGGCTTGCTATAGATTACACTGTGAGGTAATAATGAACTTGACTTTCCTCAAGTCTGATAGTTGTAAACCTGCTTTGAGAAGCTACTATACCTCTATGACCCATTTTCTATCTGTAAAATGGGAGTAATAATATTCCTTTCTTTATAGGGTTATTTGAGGATTAAACAAGTTAAAGCATGTATAGAGTTTAAATAGAACTCAATTTTTAGCTATTGAGAAAACACTATCTTTTTTTTAAGATGGCATTTTATTCAAGAGTCTGTTTGTCTAATCTTCTGAGATCTACCACTCTTTGTTCCATACCCTCAAGAGAAGAATTGAAGCATTTGCATCACAATGGTTTTTATTCTTCCCAAGTGATGGTGCAGGCAAGTAGGACTGAGAAACACATGCTTGCCATTCATGGACTCTTGACATTGGCTCAATTTTTCACTTTAGGAAGAATTAGTTTCTCTTCAGGTACCAAATAAGACAAGAACACAAAGTTCTTCAGAATAGCTCCTCCTCCTCCTCCTCCTCCTCCTCCTCCTCCTGCTCCTCTTTTTCTTCTCTTACTCTTTCACCTTCTTTTTCTTCTTCCTCCCCTTCTTCCACCCCCTCCTTTTTCTTGTCCCCCTCCCCCTCCTCCTCTTTCCCCCTCCTCCATCCTCCTTTCTGATTCTTCTTCCTGATTTCCTGGTCTAGAGCTTGGATTGGGACTAAAGTGTCTTCCCTTAGCTTTTTCATTCAAGGTTGGCACCTGTATCACTTGAGCCACACCTCCACTTCCAGCTTTTTGGTGGTCTTTTAGAGATAAGAATCTCACAGATGTTACTACTCCAGCTGGCTTTGAACCATGAGCTTCAGACCTCAGCTTCCTGAGTGGTTAGGATTATAGACATAAGCCACTGGCGCCTAGCCCAAAATGGTTTTGGGATTGGCTCAGCTTCACTCTTTTTTTTCTTTTTGTTTTGTTTCATTTACTTTTCTCTTTTTTTTCTTTACTTTTTTTCTTACTGAAGCACAAACTCAGGGCCTCACACTTAAAGGCGATATTCCTTAGTCTGTTTTGCCTCCTGAGTAGCTAGGATCACAGGTATGAGCCACCATGCCTGGTCCCTATCTTTTCTTTCTAATCAGAGCAATGCAGCAGTTTTTATGAAGCTTTATTCTATGATTATTTCTTAGAAATGTTCCATCTAGGGATAAGAATTATCCTACTATAAGCTGTGACACTTTATGTAATTGAATGCTACCCTTACAGGAAGCTTACTGCCAGTCTTTTATGCACAAGAGCACTTAAGAACATTTCTGTTGATCATTTCTGCCCTTACATAATTCATATCATATCTTTAAAGGAACCTGCTAATAGTAATCAATCTTACCTATAAAAAACTACTTCCTACCTAAATTAAGTATTAAATTTTTTCCAGGGGCAAACAGTTACTTTACATTTAAAAGCCTTCTAGCTGGGAAGATGGTTCAGTGGTAGAGTGCTTGCCTTGTATGCATGAGGCCCTAGGTTCAATTCCTTAGTACCACATAAGCAGAAAAAGCCAGAAGTGGCGCTGTGGCTCAAGTGGTAGAGCACTAGCCTTGAGCTGAGTTCAGGCCCCACAACTCACACACATACATACACACACACACACACACATATTATATATATATATATATATATATATATATCCTTGTGGCATTTCTCTGAAGTGGTGTCATAGTTAATTATAGATACAGTGGATTCATTTATTTGTTCACTAATTCATTTAAAATATCTATAAAATTTAAAATATTTAATAAAATGTTAAAGTTTATAATAAATACTTTTGTAAATGCCTACAAAATGGTAGAGAACAAGACATAGGTCTCCTATCCTGGATGTTACATTCTAATTCAGGGAGACAGACAGTAAGTATATCTACACTAAGAAGGGATGTTATGGTACTGTTAAGAGGCAGGGACCATGTAGCAAGTGATAGGTAGATAGATAGGATAGCCACTGTTAGCGGGATTTCTGTGTACTTACTTTGCATATGAAAAGTTCAGAACTCTCAAAATTTCTGCTTCTGTTATTTGCACAAACAAATAGAAATTGGTGGTGCCACTAAAACCATAGAGAAAAGATCTCAGAAAAACACCATAGAACAGCAGAATGGACACTATGCTGGCTTGTTTTGTTTTGTTTTTGTTTTGCTTGTTTCTCTAATCAAGATATGACCACAGGGGCTGAGAAGGTGGCTCAGTGGTAGAGCGCTTGCCTTGCATGCCTGAGGCCCTGGGTTCGATTCCTCAGCACCACATAAGCAAAAAGAAAAAAGCCGGAAGTGGTGCTGTGGCTCAAGTGGTAGAACGCTAGCGTTGAGCTGAAGAGCTAAGGGAGAGTGCCCAGGCCCAGAGTTCAGGCCCCATACCCCCCCCCCCCCCAAAAAAAAAGATATGACCACAGCCAGGTATGGCAGCACATGCTTGTAATCCTAGAATTCAGGCTGAGGGAGGAAAATTGTAAGCAGTTGCACATGTTCCATAAAGGGATAGATGAATATAGAAACATGGATGAATAGATTAAAATTCCAAATCCTGGTACAAATAAATATATCTTATTCTGTATCTATATCCACCAAAGAATTTTTGGGGGGGTCCTGGGGCTTGAATTAAAGGCCTGGTGCTGTCCCTGAGCTTTTGTTTTGAAGGCTAGTATCCTACCTCTCCCTGCTTTTTTTTATATATATATAGTTAATTGGAGTGAAAAGTCTCACAGACTTTCCTGCCCAGGCTGGCTTTAAACTGTGATCCTCATATTTTAGGATTACAGGTGTGTAGCTAGGATTACAGGTGTGAGCCACAAGCTAACACTTCAATTTTCAATGATCACTTATTAAGAGAGAAACATCAGGAAATCAAATGACTATGAGCTCTTTTCTCAATATGTTGTGAAGACTTACATTGTTAGAATATTAGATTTGCAATGGCTTTCCTGTATGCCAATAATGAGAAGAGTGCCGATGAAATTAGGAAAGCACCCTTTTGTAATAGCCCCACAAAAAATAAAATACTTAGGAGTTAACAAAAGAGGTGAAGGACCTGTATGATGAAAACTTTAAAACCCTGAAAAAGGGAATTAAAGCAGAACTAAGCAAGTGGAAAAACCTCCCATGCTCCTGGATTGGGACATCGTGAAAATAGCAATACTGTCAAAGGCTATCTACAAATTCAATGCTATACCTATCAACATTCTAACCTCATTTTTCAATGAAATAGAAGAAGCAATCTAAAAATTCATATGGAACAATAAAAGACCCCGGATAGCAAAAACAATCCTTAGTAGAAAGAACAGCGCTGGAGGAATATCAATACCAAATTTCAAACTCTACTATAAAGCCATAGTAATCAAAACAGCTTGGTACTGGCACTAGAACAGACCTGAGGACCAATGGAATAAGACTGAAGACCCAGAAATGAACCCACAGACCTATAGTCACCTAATATTTGACAAGGGAACTAAAGAAATAGAAAGAAAGACAGCCTTTTCAGTAAGTGGTGCTGGCAAATTGGTTAAACACTTTAGAAAACTAAAACCAGATCCATGTATATCATCCTGCACCAGAATCAACTCCAAATTGATCAAAGACCTCGGAGTCAAAGCAGACTCCATGAAAACATTACAGGAAGGAATAGGAGAAACTCTAGGGCTCCTTGGCACAGGCTGAAATTTTCTTAATACAGATCCAGAAGCACAACAAATCAAAGAAAGGTTGGACAAATGGATTGCATGAAACTGCAAAGCTTTCTGCAAGGCAAAGGACATAGCTAACAAGATCAACAGAAAGCCCACAGACTGGGAGAAGATCTTCACTAGCCATACAACAGACAAGGGTCTCATATCTCAAATATAATTGGAATGCAAAAAACTAAATCCCCCAACAAAAATTCCTCAAAGAAACAACTGCCCGATTAACAAATGGGCTAAAGACTTAAAGAGAGACTTCTCTGTAGAGGAAATAAGAATGGCCAATAAACACATGAAGAAATGCTCCACCCTACAGCAATAAGACAAGATGCAGACATAAAGGGGATCCAAATAGGGAAAGAAGAAATAAAACTCTCCCTCTTTGCAGACGACATGATCTTGTATTTAAAGAATCCCATAGACTCCACTCCCAAATTACTCA